GTCCATGAAATAGTAGCCGGTGTTTAGCGCTGGCTTTTTGTCGACGGCTCACTCGGGCTCAGACAGGGAGGCAGAGTGGGGGAAGTCGCTCAACTGTATCCAGCGCTTTGACGCTGCATGAAATGGCACCTTAAGCCGCAGTTTCACGCAGCGAGTAAAAGCTGGCGTTTTACCCCCACTCCACCGCCACGCAAAGCAGTGTTAAAAAGCTGTTCGCTATCGCCTCTATCCTTTTTATGTAGCGAATAGAAGCTCATTTCATCACAACGCAAAGCAAGCGTTAAAAAGCGGCGATTGCTAAGTACATTACCTGATATAACCGCAACTGCAACATAAAAATGGAGTTGGAATATTATAATCAATATATACATCGAGTACGTAAAATATTATAAACATACAGTGGCAGTTATAGCTCAAATTAGAAGACGACGTATAGCTGCTGCAGTTGCTGCGATGTGTTTGATAAATGAAAAAGAAATAAATATAAGAAATATAATTATTAATACAATATAACAAAATTAATCTATCTTATATAAATAAATAAGAAACAAAGAGCAGTCTAACCTATAAGTATGTTTGCTGTATGTATATAATATGTACTAACTTCGTCTATATTTTTGGGTGCTGTCAATTGATTAAATCCTTCAGCCATAATTTCTTTTTTATACACTTTTAAGTAAAATAATTTAAATTTCAGCGTTGCTTGATCAATTCGCTAAAAGTTGGACTGTGTCGAACTTTGAGCGTTTATTCGCTACATTCGCCATTCTGGCAGGAATTTATGGAGAGGGGGTAAAACGCCAGCTTTTATTCGCTGCGTGAAATTGTGCCTTTAGGAGCGCCAAACTTGAGATTTGAACTTAGCCTCGAAACCAACTATTCACAGAGGCCGCTAGGTGCGACCTTCAAGACCGAAGGAAATGTATTCCAACCTGTCTATTGGTTTGTCGTGGCCGTATCGGCAGCCGTGGGTTGCCGGCGCCGACGCCGAGTGCCATTATCAGACATTACCAGAAGAAGAACACGTGGCTCGGTAACCTTTTATCTGCGTTTAGAAGCGTTATCTCTTGTAAGACATTATTCCGTTGATTATATCTGATTTGAAGAATCGCGAGAATGTCGCGCTCTCTTAGGAGCTTATTTGGAGCTGAAAATAGGTTCGTATAATTTGCGTTTTTCTTCCATTTAACCTGCGTGCGCGCGAGACGCAAAAGACCGCCGGCCGGTTACAACCGGTCGCCTCGGCGTTAAAGGCTGAGTTATGATGGCCGTAACTGTTAACTTATGCCAGAACCGGTAAAGTTCGATACTGGGATTTCAATGCTTTCGTTCATAATGGGTTTCTGAACGAAAGCATTGAAATCCCAGTATCGAACTTTACCGGTTCTGGCATAAGTTAACAGTTACGGCCATCATAAATCAGCCTTAAGAATTTCTGCGTTTGCTAATTTTCCTTTAATTACGCAAATGTAGGGTTTCCTTCGGTCCCCCCCCCCCCCGAAATTGTTGCATGTTTTCAACGACCTTGACGAGTTCGGACGACCGTTTCCGTTATTCTTCCCGTTTTCTGCGGTTATCGGTTTTAAAGCCAGATTTCCAACCTTTTGGTAAGCCAACTAATAATTAAATTATATGTCTATCTGAAGGAATAACAAAGACATGCATATGAGTGAACTATTAGTTAACTTACCAAAGCGTTGGAACTACCGGCCGTTAACCTGTGACTTGTGTATGTGTTTATTAATTTGAATGACCTTCAGGTATAAAGCTTTTTCCTTCTAAAATTCATACATATCTTGTTGCGTTTTGTGACACAATCAAAATCCAGTACATTATTCTGTTAAGTATTTCTGTTAGTGTAGAAGTATGTAAGGGCCTGAGCAGAATGGCTGTCTTATACTCTTAAGACAGCCCTGAGACAATGTTTTATGTTTTAAGCCTTTGTCTTAAGGTAACGCACAATAACTGTCTTATGTCTGAAGAGTGGAAGACAGCCATTCTGCTCAGGCCCTAAGACACTACCAAGATTCAAGGTTATGTATCACTCGCAATTATAACAAATCTATTTTATTAAATACACATAGGAAACTCTGATTCTTCTCCAGATAAAGCATCACGTTTGCCGCAAAAGATTAAAAAACATCAAAGTATGGATAAGGATAAAGTTGAAGGTGATAGCCATGGTGAGAAAAACCAAATAATAGTAATATGAATAAAATAATAAAATAAAGTCAATTTTCGAAGAAATAAATTATTTATATTATATTAATTTTATGATGGTTTAATAGGAAAGTTAGAGACTTCCACTGATTCATCAAAAAGTGTAACACAAATTAAGAACATAGAGCAACAGTGAAAAAATATAGAAAATATTGGTAAGTAAAATTAAAAACTGTCCTGAATGTACCTAATATTAAGTTAACATTATATATTTGCTTATTAAAAATATATCACGTTCACAATCACTTGACGAATTCAGAAATCCGCTATCTTTTATTTAGAGATGTACAAACTATTCGAATACGAATTTAATCAAATCGAATGAAGCTCGTTTCGAAGGTTCGTTTCGAACTTAAATTTCTATGAATCTGATCTGATTGATTTCTGTGAATCGAATCTGAACTACCCAAAAATTTCGAATTTAGGTGGTTCGAATACGAATCATATGTATTGTTAATATTATAAAATATTTCTGGTTAATAAACAAAACAGTATGGCCATGTCAGTACATGCATTCAGAACTACAATCGCTCACTGAGCAATTAACATAAATAGCAATAGAACAGTGCTCGGAGTTGCATATTTCGGGCAGATTTCGTAGATAAACGCTTACTGTCCCCCCACTACGGTCATTATACAGCAGGCGTCTCCTACGAAATCTGCCCGAAATGTACAACTAACTCGCAGCACTAGCCCAGTCAAATTAGACATTCTCTGCGGAAAAATTCCCATAGGGCTGGATTTTGGTATACAGCGAGATATTGTCCTTTGAAACAATGTCTCAAAAGTCCTGATCGATACCACCGCAGCTAAAAATTTTATAGAGGGTGAAAGGGGGTGAAAAACAGTTTTTCGCGAATATCTTTGAAAATATTGATTTTTCGGCATACATAGTTATTAAAATTTGTAGCTTATGAAATTTGCTACAAAAAAGGTCTTGTTACTTATTTTACCAGAACCAACCGTTTTTTAGTAAAACGGTTCACAAAGTCCCACCCTCATACTTTATCAATAAAATGTACTCTTTTCCACACCACCGTTGAGGTAGAGTACTAGGCGCGTTTTTTTTTTAATGTGGTGTCTCCAGTAGGCCTAATCCACATTTTTTTCGTACTGTGAAATTAATTTTCTGCTTCTTCTGGAATTTCTGGAGCCTCCTCAATTGTAATGAACGCCTCTGCGTCCGTCTCTTCCATTTCTACAGTTTCCGCTAAGAAATCTGTCGGATCACGTTCTTCATCGATGTCAGCATAGGTCTCTTCCATGGTGACTGCTGTTGCATTCAAGCAAGACCGGCCACGACAATTACCACACACTGCTGAACAGTGCAAGCCAATTTTTCTGCAACCACAGTTAAAGCCGCAGCCTTTTTTTGTCGTTATTACAATTTTCTCTCCATATCTCTCTATAAGTTTGCTTTTGATCGTTTTGTTATCCGGAGTAAAATCTTTGCAAACATCTTTCAATTCTGCCAAGGTAAATTGGCAGTCATCATTGTTTTCAATGTATGTATATATTTTTTCCATCGCCGATGAAATACGAGAATCCTGTGGACGACCAATTTTACCTCCTAGGTTGTAGGTTTTTTAAACGACACGTAGCAATCCTGGTGATATTTTGTCTCAGCAGCAACCAAATCCTCCTCATAAATGATTCGTTTTGTCACTGCCTTCGCTATGTCGTTGCCAAGCTGTTCGGCAACAGCAATTATGGAATCTTTAAAAGAAGCCGTTGATACACGACGTATTATTCTACGATTTTTCATATTTTTCTTCTTCTCTTTCTCCTCATTAGCTTCTTCACCACAAAAGATGCATGAGTGTTGAAAATCAAACGAATATTCATTTAAACGCTGTCTAGTGCGCGGTGGACTACTACCAGACGTGCTAGCACCTTCATCTTGATTCCTTTTTGCAGCGGCAATGCTACCCTTGCGTGTATACTCCTTACGACATTGAACATGGATTTTTATCGAGTTGACACGGCGTAAATGTCCAATTTTTCCATCGTTCCTTTCAGCACTCGCGTCTCGCAACGTATCTATTCCGCGCTCCACAACAACAGTATTACCAGTTGATAATGACTGGCAGCAAATTAAGCACAGTTCTTCCATTATCGTATAATTTGTTGAAATTTTACGATGTCTAGAAATTTCACACAAATATTACAAATAAAAGCTCCGATATATCAACTGAACTGACACGTCCGTTCACAACCAAGAACAGTTGAATACTGAGCAACCGTGGTGGGCCCACCACGTGAGCAACCGACAACGTCGTCTCAGGCTGCGTTCGAAAACATCACCCGATATGCCACGCTATATCATTTTATCTTTGTTTAGCATTCGGTCACCGACAAAGATAAAATGATACATGGGAGCTCGGGTGATGTTTTCGAACGCTGCCTAGATAAGACACAAAAGAGCAGGTATACGGAGAACCCTCGTTATGAAATAAAGGGTCCCCATAGCTGTCGTGCAAGGTCATGGTAGGGGAATATTTTCGAAGCACACTCCACAGTAGGCTCTCAAATACTCTACAGAGAGTTTTTCATCGGTTATATTTCTGTACACACGTAAACCATATATATATATCATGTATAAAGTCTGTATTCTGAGTTGTGTATTCACACGCAAATATCTCCGAAACGGTTGGTTCTGCAAAAATGAGTAATAAGATCTTTTTTGTAGCAAATTTTATAAGCTACAAATTTCATAATAACTATGTATGCCGAAAAATCAATATTTTCAAAGATATTCGCGAAAAACTGTTTTTCACCCCC